TATATATATATATCTGCCTTGGGGCGGGGATTTAGCTCAGTGGTTTCACCGCCTGCTGTGCAAGCACAAGGACCTGAGTTTGATCCCTGGTACCCCCCCCCATATATATATATCTGCCTGGAGAGGGACAAAGCTTCAATTTAAGAAAGCCAGTCCTAAACTACTAACTCCAAAACATATCCCACAGTTTGAAAGAAATTACCATTATAGTATTTTTTGTGGAGCTCTTGCTGTGTCCAGGCCCTGGGGCTTTCAAAGAGTCACCCAATCCATCAAGTGGGCAATATGGCCTCAATTTACAAATGGGCCAAGGATGCTCAGAGAGGTGATGTCACCTGCCTGAAGTCACCCAGCTGGAAGAGCAAGAACTGGGTCAAGAGCCCCTGACATTTCTATGGGCTCCACATTGCTGAAATTCAGGGGAAAAAGCCTCAAGGCACGAGTCTGGGCTGCTGTGGTGACTGGTGACAGTGAGGAACCTCCCTGCCCCCGCTCACCCCATGCTCTACTCTGAAAGCCTCCAGCTGGTTTTCCTCCCACTGTGGTTCACATGGAAAATGTGAAATCAGGTTGAACCGTTTGGAATTTTCTTTCCTCCAGACAGCCCGGGTGAGTGAGGAGCCTTCACTTCCCAGGGAATCGGGTGCTCTTGCCCCACAACTTGGGCCATTCCAGGCATTCCGGTGACCTCATTTCAGCTAAAGGCGTGGGCTCCAGAGGCTGAGAGCCTGGCAGGTAAGCAACCCTTGGTGACATCTTGGGAAGAAGGACGCAGATGAGTGGATGGCCTTGGGCAGGAAGCCTAGGCTGGTTTTTTGCAGGAATCAATAGGATTCTGAAGCTGCCTTACGTCTCCAGCCATACCACCCTGAACACAACCTGATCTCATCCTCTGAAGCTGCCTCCCTCCTTTCCTGTGGCTGTCCTTCCTCATCTGGAACAAGGTTGGGGGGACCGCCCAATCCATTGCCTTTGGAGATACGATCTGTAGCTCTATGAGCAACTGCCTTTCTCTCATCACACTTCAAATAGTAAAATAGAAAATTCAAATAAAAATGACAGATGCCAAGCTGGACATGTTGGTATGTGAGGAGAGGCTGAGGTAGGAGGATCACAAGTTCAAGGCCAGCCTGGGCAATTTAGAAAGAGCTTGTTTCAAAATAGTAAAATAAAATAAAACTAAATTAAATAAAAGATGGGGTGTATGCTGTAGTCATAGAGTGCTTACCTAGCACACACAAGGCCCTGGGTTCCATCCCCAGTGCCACAAAAAAAAGAAAAAGGAAAAGAAAAAAAGAGCCAGGTGTGATGGCACATACTTGTAATCCCAGAACTCTGGGAGGCTGAGGCAGGAGGATCACAAATTGGACCCCAGTCCCCCAGGATGGGCAACTTAGCAAGACCTTAGCAAGACCCTATCTCAAAATAGAAAATAACTCAGTGTGAAGGCCCTAGGTTCAATTCCTAGTACCAAAAAAGAAAAAAGAAAAGATACCGTTTTCACCCAGCAGATAAACAATTTTTAATCTGATTGTATCATGTCATTTAGTAAGAGTGTGGAGTAACAGGAATTGTTACCTACCACAAATAGAGTATCAATTTGAGGAACCCCATTAGCAAACAATTTGGTATTTTCTCATGAACCTAAAGATGTGCGACAACTGCTTCGTAACCCAATGCTTCTACTCCTTGGTGCATGTGATGGAAAAACTTCTGTATGTTCTCCAGCATACGGGATGGCATGGTCCTGGGGACTGGAGTGTGGCTCAGTGATGAGCACTTTCCTGGCACCAAGGTCCTGTGTTGAATCCCCAGCAACACACACACCCCCCCACACACCCCCACCACCCCACCACCCCCACACACAAACACACTGGTTCTGGTTACCCTGATTGTAAAAGCAACCCCAGTTGGAAACCACCCGGGTGCCCACCTATAGCAGAATGGAAGCGTGTGCACCTTCCCACCTTGGAGGGCTGCAGAGAATCAAAATGAGTGAACTAAAGCTATATGCACCCAATGAGGATTCTCAAAACAGGCCTGAGCGCCAAAGTCAAAAACGTGAAAAGAAACAATCTGTTTAGGAAGATAAACATATGTGGCAAAACCGTAAGTAGCAGTAAGGAAGTGATAAATACAAAATTCAGGATATTGGTCCCCCCACCCCACGAAGAAGGAAGTAGCAATGTAATCATGAAAGGTCTTCTTTTTTTTTTTCCTCCCTTTAATGTGGTACTGGAGGCTGACTCTAAGGCCTTCACACTGAGCTACATCCTCAGTCCTTTTTCATTTTTTATTTTAAGACAGGGTCTTACCAAGTTACTAACTTGCCCAGGCTGGTCTGGAACTTGAAATCCTTTGTCCTCAGCCTCTCAGAGTGCTGGTATTACAAGTGTATGTCATGGTACCTGGCATAATCAGAAAGGGTCTTAAAGTTCTTAATGATGTTCTATTTTGTGTTGGGTGTGTGGTGTGAGGGACCACATTCTGCTTCTCCAGCGTGCTAGGCAAGTGCCCTACAACTCAGCTATATCCCTAGACCATATGTTCTATTTTTTTAGGGTAGTGGTGGGTACATGGGTATTATTATTATGCTTTTTTTTCCCTTAAGTTCTTTTATTGTTACATTTTAGGTATACAGTTCGTTTACATTTATCATCGGGTGCTTGTACCTGTACATGATGTATCTTGGTTCTTATTTTTTCCTCATTACCCGTGTGCCCTTCACCCCCTCCATGTTATGCTTTAATCTGTTCACACACACACATGCATATATATTTTATATATATTTATTTGTACCAAATCAAATAAATATATTTGGAGATATAGATAGATAGATAGATATAGATAGATAGATAGATAGATAGATAGATAGATAGATAGATATAGATAGATAGATAGATAGATAGATATAGATATATATATGGATATATGTGGGGAATGATGTATTTTAAACAAAGAAAATATGTCTGCAGCTATGGGCAAAAGAGTAGAGCAGAGAAAGAGGCCAAAAAAGAGAGGAAGCAGCTGCTGCCTGGGGAGAGAAGAAGGAGCCTACCTGGCCTCGAGACACTCCTCCCCATCCTTGGCCATTAACGAGTGACCTTGAACCAAGGAAACTTCGTATGGACTCCCTTGGGGCTGGAGTGCAGCTCAGTGGTAGAGCACTTGCCT